AAGACATCAGTCATAACAGTGAAATGGAAACATGGGGCTAATGAAAAAACAGTATGGCAGATTGATATGCTGGACAGGGTATTTTTTTCTGGGAACTTTTACTATCCACTCTTTGCAATGGAACTTAAAATGTCTTAAACGTTTTCGTGTCTGGATTAGGAAGTTAATGTCATGGCATAGCAACTGCAAAATTTTATAGGCCATCACATGATAATTTTATCAGAAGAAAAAGCACTATGTAAAAGCACTAGGTAGTGTGACTGTCCTTAATTTACGAGAAAAACAAAGTCACAAAATCCCTTGAAGAATTTTGGAAAGCAGTGACTATTGACCCCTAGGTTTTGCTTTCATTATCAAATTTTACACAATTTTTAAATTTATAGAAGCTGTGGCTTGTAACTGTAAAATTTTTGGCAGTGACTTGATTTCTATAAACAGCTTGTGCTTAAGGGTCCATCTCACAGGATCTGTTTTACTGGCATTAGCTGTCAGATGGATACACAGAAGTACATTTCATTTTTTGTGCTTGTATTTATGTGTGTGGAACAAAAGACATGGTAGATGCTAGTGCAATTTTCAAAACAGCAAAAGATCTGTTTTGAATAAATTAGGTGTCATTTTCCATTGTTTCAATTCTTCTGCTCCCACCACTGAAGTAAAATCAAAGTTCTGGCATGATTAGACTTTTCTACTGTTTTTAGACACAAGGTTTCCTTGTCAGAGCTGTGAATGAAATGCCAACAAGCACTGTTCTCTTGCACATCAAGTCAAATGAGGAGCCCATAACTGGCCAAACGTGGCTCCCAGATTTTCTATTTTGAAAAAAAAAAATCCCCCCTACTAATGGGAAGAATATCCAAGGAAGAATTATTCATTATGAAGAAATATTTTTTGAGCACTTTTCTATTCGCATGACTTTTCATCATGACCAGTAGCCATTTGAATCTTTTGCAAGTTGATAATCAATTCTGATGATGATATTCCCAGGTAAATTATTTTCCATGTTACGAATTATGCTTTATTAGGGGGCTGGAAGCAGAGAGAACCCCATAGGAGCCAGCAGGCAGATGTGTCTTTTTAATTTTGTAGTTTCCAAACTACTGCACATGTTGAAGCCTGAATGCTTGTATTGACTTGGATCTTGTGTTAAATTACTGACTAGGTTACACGCTAAGTAGTGGGCATGCTGTAAGAACAGTTAGAAATGGCAGTCCTGCCCAGGGGGGTTGCATCACTGAACATTAGATTAGCACTACTGTATAGAAAATGTTTAATGTGGACTATTGTGTCCAAGGATGACTGCAAGGAGAGGATATTCCTGATCAGTACCTTTTTTAATCAGCAATGGGTCTTGATTGTTTAAGCAGTTTTTTATAAATTAAAAGAAAACTTTTGTAAGATACTTTTGTACATATTTATTGTCTGATTTAAAAGTGCAATATTTTGTTTTGTACAGTGTTTAATAAAGATTTTTGGACATATATTTTTTCTTATTACCAAAATTTCTTATTCATGTTTTTCCTTTATATTTAAAATTTTCAAATGTTAACACATGGTAATTTTGTTTTGTGGCTTTAATTCTGTCTTTGGTTAAGTATGCATGCTATACAGAAGCAGTGCTGTAAATGTTTGTTATTGTAATTGGCATGACATTCCTCTGTAGATTATTTTATTGCTTCTCCAGTAACTAAAGATGTCTAATATTTAGCTTTCTTGAACACAGTTTTGCTATTTCTGAAATAAACTCTAGTTTGATTATTCAACACTGTGATTTGCAACAGGTTGTTTATTACTGTGATGTTCCTGGTAGCTGTGCTTTAATTCCAAGTGTTGTTTTATCAACCTACCATGTCCATAATTCTGGGACTTTTTCAAAGCTAAGATTAGTCCTGATTTTTGAGAACTTATCAGACAGATTGTCAGCTCCATTACAGTCTGTTTGTCCTGCTATTTAAAGCCAATATGAATGTAAGCTGGCTGAAAAAGTGGGGAAGAGAATTTGCTCAAATCCATACAGCTCTCTCTGAAATCGAGAATCAGGATTCTGTAAAAAGGTGGAATAAAGTTACATTTCTTTGCCAGGCTTTCATCTACTGCAGATTTTGTTTAGACCCCACAGAAAAGGTCTATGTTTCAAATTTACTGGATGATGGCAATAGCTATGTGAAAAAATCCTTGTTTCAGAATATCCAATATGTGCAGTAGTTTTTAGAAAGACGAGTCTCATAAATAATAAGAACAAGAAAAGCTTTTAAAAAGTGTATGAGATGGAAAAAAAAGTCCAGCAATGCAATTGTGGTATTTCAGAGTTATCCAAGATGGTAACATTGGCAAAGGTGCATGGGTCTATTTCATCTTCTTTTTTTTTGTCACCAATGCATTCTTTCTGTGCACTCTATAAAAAACAAACCAACAACCCTGTGGAGCAGTTCTGTGGAGTGTGCTATACAGCATAGTGCATAAAAAGCAATTTTAGAACTGCAGTTGTTTTCATGAGTAACATAACTTTTCTGCTTTTACATCTTGCTTTAGAGCATGACATCATAAAATGCTTTTTTAACAGCTGTTATTTTGGGAAATAGTTTTCCAGCCTGCTGTTCATTCTGTCTGCATTTCAATAATATGGTGCTTATGTAAAAGCTGACTTTGAGTACTGAACACTCTGTGAAAGGTTTATAATATCATTTGTTGCTTTTCCTGGAAGCATAACCAGTAGGGTGGGGCTCTTCCTACTCTAATGTAGTAACAGCTTCTCTCTTTCACTGTTAAACTTAGGGGAAAATATTAGGGGCAAAATGAAAAGGAATATGCCCCCTCCACCCTAAAACAAATACTTCAAACATGTTGGCAGATAAACTGTTCAATGCAACTGAATGTGCTCTCCACTTCCTGTCAAAAATTGTTCTGCTATGCTGGTAGGTGGCAGCAAATGACTTTTCGTAACTTAAGGGGCAGGGGGTGGGGTGGAAGTGACTTAAGAGCTAAAAAAAACAGCTGTGAAAATTACAAAAAGCATCTGGGCTCACTCACAGACACAGAGGAGGAGCTGTTTAAGCAGAACATGCAGAACATGTAACTTCATGGATTCAGATTGTGATTCTTAATGAGCTTTCTTCCTCACTGGAAAAGAGAGCTGGGAAAGCTCTCTAGAAGCTTCTTTAAACTTCTCAGGAGGTACCAAGATTGTGTATAGGATATGGACTTGGGTAGGTGTCCAGTTGTAGCCAGACAGAGAATGACTCATAAAGAAAAGGGTGTTTGTAATTTTTTTTCTTCTGTGGTACAGAAGGAGGAGAATGAACTGGATTTTTTCCTGTGCTGCTTTTAGGATATTACAGCTTTACATTGCCCTCATTCATGCCCAATCCAAAAGATGTCCTTTAACCAGCCTAAGGATGTGAATAATCTTCAGAGAGAAAAGTTTAATTCAATTGTTGTTTCATTAACAGACTAAATCATATTACAAAAACACAGTACAAAGACAAAAATTACCTAAACGCAACTGTTGTTGTGATGAAGTCTGGAGTGGTTTTCTGCAATGCTCTTATGCACAGCTAATATACTCAGTTCAGCCTTCTTCCTTGCATTTGATCCAGTTCCTGCTTTCAACATGTTTCCATCATTGGTCTTAGTCCTTTTATTGCTGATTTGGTTTATGTAGCATGAGCAAACAATTCTTCAGAACCCAAATGACTGCCCTACACCACTGCATGCAAGATATGCAGTGCTGAAAAACACCCCCTGCAGCAGGGAGAGAACATGATAATACTGTCAATCGTGGCTCTATTCACTGGGACCTGCTTAAATGATGAACATAACAGGACTGAAACCAATTCAACCAATTCTCTCAAAATTAGGTGAAGATACAAAAATAAAATACAAAATATCTCATACAGGGGTTTAATCATTATGTGTACAATTTCTTTGGACTTTTTGTTTTCTGTGTATTTGCAACAAATACTTCTTTGAAGAGCAGACGGACTGAAGCCAGGCTGTCAAGTGATTTCTGCATCTTGGCTGCTATTTTTTTTTAAACCAAATTTACACTGGCTTCTGTTAAATCTACAGCCACAAAATTATCTGCCATTTTTCACTTCAGACTGCGTCTGCAGTGAACTTTGCCAGTGATAACAGGCTGTTAGCTCTAAAAATTAGGTAGCAGGATCAAAAACTGTGGTGGATGGATGGTTTTGAGCCTCATCCTCTGCTTCCTCACCATCTACCTTAGAAACTAGAAAACCAATAATCTGTGAAATCTCTGTGTTTGATTGAATTTGCACACTGGATTTAAAAATTTTTCCTGTGGGGAGGACACATACTTAGAGTGTCAGTGTCCCCAAAGCTTTGCATCAGCATTGTTGTCTTTGGAAGTGAGGCTGAAATGCACTATCAGGGAAATTAGGCAACAGAGTCTAACTACCTGCTTTTTTATGTCTGAGGGATTTCAAGTACATGCACAGAGAAAGAAAAAGGTTCCTTCTGGTTAATTGCAATTAGAAATCACACCATGACCCTTATACTCATCTAAGAACTGAATGAAGGAAAAATAATGATGACTAAAACTAAAATCAGGTTTTTAGAAATTACACGATGTCCTGGGCTGCTATCTTATTATTTGGGCAGCAAAATGTAAAAAAAAATATTCTTCTCAGATTCCTCAAAGAATTGATGAGAAGAAAAGCTAGACTGATGATCTAGTTATTTAGATGATTATAGCATCATTTGCTCAGTATCAAAAAGTCAAGGAAACTAGAATGCACAATCAAAAAAAAAAAAATAGATGCCATGTCAGATGCACTATTCCTACAAAAATTGGCAAATCTTTAATAGTATTTTAATACACTCCTGGTTTTACTTTGATTTTCTTCAAGCTATTAGTTTAAATGCTTTTAAAAATCTGAATTTGCATTATTTAATTTCCTGTCAGTGATATTTAAAGAAAACCAAACAATTAGGATTTGAATTATTTCACGGGGGTGCTTGAAATGCTGCATAAAATATTATGACACAACAGCTACCTCCTTTGGAATGGGATTACTATTTGACTCAGAAAATTCTGGAGTAAGCTGGCGGAAGAATTTGTGACCATGAGCATCTGTGCTTAGATAGATGTAACCTGGAGGAGATGGGTAATTTGCTGGGCAGATCTCTTGTTTCTTTGGTGTGTATTCTGTGCTATACATCGTTTCACCTTGGAAAGGAGCTGAATCGGTAACTATGGCATGCACAGGTTTGAAGCTCTGAGCTGGAATGATCTGATGTGGTATGTAATGAGATCTGAATGTAGTTAAATCATAAAATTTTCCTGTGGGTTTTGGAATTTCCTCCTGTTTCTTAGTAATCGCTTGCCGACAGCTGCCCCAAGCTTTAAAGTCTTCCCTCATAGTAGTAATCCCTTGAAAAGGGGCATTGGTTCTTCTGCTGTTAGAAGCTGGTCTTATTGGGAAAGCAGGAGAAATCTCATGCTTAACATAATCAAGATGGCTTGTGGAGTTAAAATCCATGTTTCCTGGGGGTGGAACATACTCTTCTGTTTTGCGGAGCTCAGGCAAGGAGACCAACCATGGCTGAAAGCGATCCTGGAATTCAGTGACTCCATTAAAACGAGCATTGGATCCAACTTTTGCATTTTCAGGCTTGCAGCTTTTTGCAAGTTGCCCAGGTAGTCCTTTAAAATCATTCCGGTGGGTTGTGAGATCCTGAAAGGGTTGGTTGCTTGGCTTGTACTCTTCTTTTGACCTGACAAATTTTGGTTCCAGTGGATGAGCAATGTAAGAGGTGCGGTGGCTGGTAGTGCTATCAAAAGGTCCATCTGAAAGCTTGTTCACACAGGGAGGTTTAAAACTTTGCCTGGGATTCAGTTCCCTAGGAACAAAGTCATCTTGAAAAGTAGTAGAATTTCCAAACTTCACTGTAGGTGGGTAGTATACATGTTCCACCTTACTAGGTTCCCTTCTTTGAACTTCCCATGTCCTATAGTCATCTTTAAGGCAAAAACAAAACTTCACCATAAAAATATTACTAATTAAGACCATTTCTTTAAAATTAAGCCAATTCTTTCAGTAGTAAATCTTGCAAAATAAAGAAAATGCATGTAAGTGAGAATGATGATATCTGCGTGTTTGTGACATGACAAAAATGTCTTCTATTATTGGTGTGATAAAAACAGACCAAAAAAATGCACATTTTTCCCTATCTTGACTATTTCCTCAAGGAAAATGTTGCATGTACAAATTTAGTGTGGTTTATATAGATAATAGCCATATATAGGTTTTATATAAGATATATTTTACTTAGAACTTTATGCAAATATGCAAGAGTGAAAGCAACCTTATAGGTTGATGGGTCATGTTCACTACTAATTGGGAGGATTCTCTCTCACAGTTTCCAAATAAATATTACACATCATCTTCAAGCTTGTTGGGATTTATTTTTTCTTTGCTTCTGGGGTTTTTTTTGCTAACAGACTGTTCTGCTACAGTCACAAAACTTACTGTCCAGTCTACGCTTCTCACAGGCAGTTGAAATCAATTTGTTGTCTTGCAATCACTGTACTTCAGCTTCAGTGTTTTTTCACTCCTTGATCCTCACTCCCTGTTGAACTGCTAACATACTTTTTAAATGAAGCAGTTGCAAGTTGCATGCTCTTAGTTTTATGCTGAGGCTAAATTATTCATTATTTGCTAGCTTACTACTTACAAGTAGGCTAAATGGAAATATTTACTTTTCCTCATAAATTATTTACAATTACTAAATAAAATGTAGAGAAGCTAGAGACAACTGATTTTTCTGAAGAACCCTTTTTCCCAAATTTCATCCTTCCAACTCTTTCTGTCTCTGCACTTTCTCCTGGGCTTATTTTGCACCAAGCATTCCAATGTCCTGCTTAAGCAGCCAGCTCTGATTCTCATCATGTCAACTATCTTTTCAATACCACTGTGTCTCATAATCAGGAACATCTTGATTTTCATCTTGGAACTTTAGTAGATCATATCTCATAATGTATTTGTATTTACTTTTAACTGGGGCTGCAATGCAGTACATGTCATGAATTTAGTAACATACATTTTATGTATAATTCTATATATTTTATGTAAAAAAAATTTCTACTTGTATAAAGTATATCAAGACCACTTGTCAGAATGACTTAAAATGATACTTAGTGTCTTTGTGCTGACCATTGCAGTGGAATAATTTGTGTCAAAACAGATCATTATTAGGATGATATGCAAGCTATACAGCATGCCAGAAATAAATGTAAAATCAACTTTTGACCTACTCTGTGGAAAAACATGTGTTACACGAGCTAGAACTATCTGGAAGATATATTGGCACTCTAATTACAACAAACTTTTGCCTGAGATAGCCTAACCAAGTTTATGTTAGAATTTTTTTCCTTCTAGCCATGAAAACCTTAGAGAAGGCTTTTTGTTTAGAAGCAATGAATGTCACTTCTAAAAATCTGGAGTGCTGAACATCCTAAGACATTGTTACCTGCTTTCTATTCTGTCTTACTCTCTGGCCCAAACTAAGAAATCCAGTTTCTAATATAGATAATTCAGAATATCACCTTCTTGGTTATTTCTCTTTATAAAGGCAGCATATATTATTACCTTGGTAGGTTGGTATAGTATCCAATTTTCCTCCTGCAGTGTGTTTTCTCTCTAGAGGTCTTATTAATACCACTGGTTGTATTTTATGAGCACTATAATCTTTCTGGTATGTGGTTCCCAGATCTATTTCTCCTGTCTTTGGCTTATATTCTTCTGGTACCCGAAAAGGTCGCTTCACAATATCATATGGTAAGTAATCAGATCTGAATTGGGGAAAAAAGGAAACATTGGTTAAAAACTGTTTTCTGATAGAGTCACTTTGTCATTTTTTCATTATATGGAAAAACAATTACTTTGTAATGTTTACCCTGAAAAGTCAATCTGATGCCATATGTTAGAGGGATAGGAAGGAGGAAAGAAAGCCATCATACATAAATTTAACGTGTCTGATGCATGAAATTGCCTTCATTCAAAGGTAGATGGTGAAGTAACTTTTTCAACACTGAGTCTCACTCCCAGTTACAAAATATTTTTAATATGTCTGAAACGAGACTAGAAAAAGTTGCTGTAATTTTACAAATAAATGATCCAAGAAGCAGAAGTAGAACAAAGATCAAACCACTACAACTGGCAGCATTTAGTGATTGTATGAGAGGAAGGGAATATAATCAGAAACAGCATTTCACTATCTTTATATGTACAAGTTATATTGAAAGTGTTATACTACATATGTAGGTGTTTAAACAGCATCTGCAAGTATACAAGCAATCCTGCAGAAGGGCTTTTGGCCTTTCTATGTATGTCCCTTTTGTTTTCTATAAACAAATGAAGTTTCATCTGTTGCCCTTAAAGCTTGGAAGAGAAACAATAATGGTAAAAGTAAAGGTTTATGCTCCTGTCACTTTATGCATAATGAATGAGCGATGCCTTTTTCTGACTCTCTGAAAGATGCTCTTTAATTTTGTAAGCTGAACATCAGAGTCTGTGCACTGACAGGACAGACCTACAGAACTCCTTTACAACTGGCTTTCTTCAAACTCCTCATAATTTAGAATTGTCTAAATTAAAAATAAATTAAAAAAAAAATAAAAATCACTGTTCCTTTTTCTGAAGGTTTCATTTTCCCACTATCTCAGATTCCACAAATGTATTACAGAAAGTTCCCCAACTTGCCAGCTTTTTCAGGCTTGGTGAGACTTAGATTTCCAGAACAGGCTGAAAACAAAGATAAAAATTTAAGATTATCTTTGCAGGTTAAAGGATGCTGCAAAGAATGCAAATCTTTTGTATGCATGCTTCACTCTTTTTTATGACATTTTTTTGGTAACTGTATTTCTACACTCAAAATTTGCACTTGCAAGTGTGCTAAAAGTGGACAGGATGCAATGATTGCCTTTTGAAAATGATTACAACACACTGTTCAGTCCCCCTTTAAATGAGAAAGTGTGAGAAACTTTATAGAGTGATTGTAAAGCACGTGGCTTCAAAATATTTACTTAAATGTTGTAATCCCTTCCATTTTCCCACGATGCACTTGGTACTCTTGTTTCGGCTTAAGGCTCCGGGGAGGAGAGATGTTGCTGTACTTGGGATATTTTTCCACATACTCTGTCGTGAGGAACGGCTGTTGTCCCTTCTCGTAAATCCTTGTGGGTTGATGAGGGCAGCGGTGGCGCCTGGGTAGAACACATCAGATGAGAGAGAGCATTTGGAAGAGCTTCATCTCTTCAAGAGATGAAAAGCTTCAAACCTGTGCCCTGCCTACTGGGAGTGAGTAGGAAATGGGGAAGATGGGACGATGTCCATCCAGGGTGTGTTTAAGTGCTTTTCAGTGATAAAAAGACAAAACCCTGTGTTGATCCATAGGCCCTGGAGCACAGTACATGAAGTAATAAACACAGCAATCAACAGCACCATCAGCCCTCAGTGCAGAATACAAGGATGCACAGAGTAGATCTAAGGCCTTGAAATGTTGCTACCACCAAGATGCACATTTAAAAAAAATATTTAATGATACGACTAGTCTTCTTTGTAAAAATATCATTCATTTCTCCTCTCATTGTCTCTTTTGAACTGTTTTTCCCTCATCACTTTTTATATCTGTGCATCTGCTCACTTATTTCCACCAGATCTTGATTAACCTTTTTTGATTAAAATGATAGTAGTATGAAATGTCAGCTGCACTTCCAGTGTGCTGCAGGCTATGTCTGACTTTTCAACCCTTTTTTTCAGGGACTGACTAAAGAACTGTGAAAGAACTTTCAGTGGGCCTAAAAGGCAATGCAAAATTAACTTAATATAAATGTGAATTCGAGATGGAGAAGAGATTAGGGTGAGGTTGTTTTTTTTTTGTTAACCAATACATCTGCTTTTGGATGTTGTCCAACAGCTAAACCAAAAGTTTTAATTCAGATATTGACTTCATAAAACTGATGATATAGGGCCTCACTGCTCTGCAGAGAAGATGCTAAGAATCTTCAACTAGAGAAGACAGATTCCAGCTCTGATAAATGAAATATGTTGCTCACAATTTGGCCAGAAGTCCTCGAGTCACCAGCTGTTTTAAACTTGTTATTTGTAGCTATCTTAAGTTCAACCCAAGTTACTGATAATTCAAAGGAATTAGGTGAGAATATGCCTTCCCCCATGATTGACTGACACCTGCTTTGATGGATCACTAATCTTTCCTTTGAGGGAGACCAGCTACCTAGTGGCTTGCATAAGGTCTGAAAGGAATCTCAATAAAATTGTCAGTACACAGGCTCTACTGCCAGATGCTGCTGCTCTGATTATTTTAATGGAACAATGCTGAATTTCACTTATTTAGGATCTGACACTCATAGAGATGTTTTTATACAGTGCTAGAAAGACCCTTGAAGTTTTCCCACACAGCATTTTCCTCCTGGGGAACTAGGCTAATAATGAGAAAACTTAATGTTTATTGTCATAAAAAAACTTGTTCAAAAAACCACAAAGCCTCAATGTCTCTAACTGCCAGTGCACATGTTATGGTCTGAAAGACAGAAATTATGTATGGACACTATTTTTGAGTCATCTGCTTTCCCAGTGTTAACAGCAGACCTGGTAGTTTTTCTTGGGGTTGCATGTATTTACATGGGCTCAGTATGAAGGCTTGAATATCCCAAATTTTAGAGAAAGCTTCCTCTTTCTTTTAACTTACATTTATTCAGGAATCTAGATTTTTATGGTAATGATATCAAAAGTGCAATAAATGAAGAAAGGCTAAAAGATTGAAAAGGTAAAGCAGTAGTTTATTTTTCTATATCAAAACAAAACTTCTATGCTTTTGTGTGCTGTGATTATCTTTTATGGTAGACAAATACTATTCCTGAGTGCAGAGAGTTCACCAACCCCAGAGGCTTTACTCTTTCTCAGGAGGCCAGGTATAACATCCTGCGTTTGCTGTTAGACATTTCTATTGAGCCAGAGATCTGAAGCCTGACTGTACTTGCTAGCAGGGGATAATCTTCTCTTGTATGAAGTTAACATATTTGGAATCCATGGGAAATAAGAAAATAGAAATATTTTCTTCTCTTTATGGATCAATCTCAAGTAAGACTAGCTCATAATTGCTCCAAATTAAAAATATACCACTCCTAAAATAAGAAATGGATCTGGAATATCTTAGGAAACAATGCAGAATCCAGTTGTTACTCTGTACCATGCAGTTTTGAGAACATTTTTTTATGGTTTAAAAGAAAAATGAGAACAATCTTCCAACTAAACTTACATCTACTATAGAAGCCTGAAAATGATCATCATATCAGCAGCATCTTATGCTATTGCAAAAGTCTTAAGCTCAAGAGGCTAGAAATTATGTCAGTTGTTAAAAAATGGGTAAGTCCCCAGCACTGGACCTAGCACTGGGTACACTTCCAGTGTTTTTTTGGCAATGCAATTATTTGTTGAATTTGAAAAAGATCACCTAATAGGCAAGAAAAGTAGTTCAGCCTAATAAGAATAATCGATTCAAAATATTATTTAAAACTTTGCAACACTTTCTAAATTAAAAGCCTGAGATTGCAGCCCCTAAATATGAACTCTAGCACTCAGATTTGAGCCCTTAATGAATAGTTTATGTATGTCATGATGAAAAAAAAAATAAGGTAATTCTGGAATTCTGGAGCTTTTTCTCACTTTGACTGCAGAGAAAAAAAGCAACAACAAAACCCAACAACAACAAAAACAACAACAACATTCTGTCTTACTGACTTTCCTCCCCTGTAGTTGTAAAAATTTTCTGACTCTTCTGTGAACAGCTAGGAAGTGTGTTTCCTTCTAATTTATTATTTAGAATTAAACAGTAATTATGTCTCCACAGAATTTTCTACAAATAGCTAACTGGTAACTTCTACAAAATACGAGATCCTTTTCTTTACTTGGAAATCTCTTCTAAGATATGTATGCATTGCAATATCCAGGTAACATTGCCAAGCAACCAGTCTTGCCCCGAAACCAGAAACACTATAGCTACACTGAAGCAAACACAATGTGCTGACTAAACCAATCATGGCTTAAGATTTTTATTGACTGTAAAAACTTCAGTGCTGCTTGTTTTAAATGATGAGTTTTGTGCATGTTTTATTAAATCATTCATATTACTAAACTGTGTTCTTGAACTGAGAATTTTCAGATGAACAGAACCTCTCTTTGTACCATCAGATTGTGTTATCTCACCATCTTTATACTTGAGCCTGAGCCAGATTTATTATCTCATCATGAAAATGTTTTCCAACTCTTCATTAATCTCGGACTTTTGAAAGAAATTTATGGGGCAAACTAAACACACAGTCTTGGCCAAAAAGAACCTGGGAAGCTTTACACACTGCTTGTCTCTCATCTCTGAGCACAGACTCAAAAAACCAAGGGGCTGATGAGCAGACAGATAGACTTCCCACCCAGAAACAAGTAAGGAGTGTGTCTGCTGCACAAACCCCAACATTAAACCTGTGGCTTATGGTGCCCTTGGCAGCCACGGGGTTGGCCATGTTCTTGCAACAGTGATCACACTTATCTTTCTGGTTTGGTTTGTTGTTGCTTGCTGTTGGTTTGTTTTGTTGGATTTGCATTTGGTTTTGGTTTAGGTTTGGTTTTGGTTTGGGTTTTTTTGTGTGGTTTAAGTAGGAAGACAAGAAATTGACAATATTAACAGTAGTAACTCCAAACCTGTAAACATATATCTGAATTTTGCAAGGTTGAAGTCCCTTGAGGTTTTGGGAAACCTGACCTGTGGATTTTTTTTACCTGTGGCACTGATGATATTGCTCACAGACCTGTAACATTAGTTTTACACAAAATAATTGCCTGCTGTACCATCTCATGGCAGCCTCCCTGGGCCAAAGAGGCTACAGGACAGTGATGAACCGTGTGACTCCATAGGGGATCCTTGAATGTGAGGAAATAGTGGGGTTTCTCTTCCCAGTGGGACAGTATTAGTGGGTGTGATGTTAGAAAGGCGAGGAGATGTGTTAAATCCGTCCAGAGGCGGTGGTGCTCGCACAGGTCCCTGCCGAGGCTGAAGGGAAGCTCTTCTGGAGGCCCCTTTGGTGCAGAGCCCCTCGGTGCAGAGCAGAGCCCCTTGCACACCGCAGGGCTGGCCCTGCTTGGCGGGAAAGCCCGACCCTGAGGTCCAGCCTACCTGGCTTTATAAAACCGTCCCCATTCTTCTCTATTTTAACGCATTTACGACCTGCTTCTTACCCTACTCGACTTGAACTCAAACAGCTTTACGGAGAAGATCCCTTGCAGAGACAAACAGGAGGCCCGTACCCGCTGAAAGGGGAGCGTTACCCGGGCTCTGCCTCCCCGCGGGGAGAAGAATCCCCGCAACCCGAGGGGGGGCTGGACGAGCTGCGGGGCGCGTTGCGGGGGC